GTCGACACTTAACCACTGAGCCACACCAGCCCGTCTTTTTTTTCTTGGTACGTGCCCCTAGCGGACACCGAACCCGGGACTCTCTGGTCCGCAGGCCGACACTCCAAATGCTAAGCTAAATCGGCCAGGGCTTTTTAAAAAAAATCTTTTAAAATTTGTATTGATTTGAGAGAGAGAGAGAGAGAGAAACATCGATTTGTTGTTTCTCTTATTTATGCGTTCATTTGTTGTTTCTTGTATGTGCCCTGACTGGGGATCAAACCCAAAACCTTGGTGTAGTGGGACGACGCTCTAACCAACTGAGCTATCCAGCCAGGTCAGGTGTAATTCTTGATCTGGAATGTTCCATATGACACAGTCCTGAACCTTGGGGTGATGAGACCATGAGAGGCACAGTTCATGCTTTGTGCTCCTCATCCAGCAATTCAGAGGCAGGGCGAACAGATGTTTTTTTAAAACACAGGAACATCTCTCAGAATTGACCACAGCACGCCACAGGGGTAACCCCAATTGCTCAGAACCAGGATCACACAGACCATAATAGATAAAAATTCAGTCAGGTTTGAAAACAGTAAGAAAATAACTACTGAGAACCACTTTGAAGTAATTTAGGAGAAACAAACCATATGGCAATTAAGTAGCACCAATCCCTTCCTCTTACAGCCTGGTCTTCATTCCTGTTTCCTCCCTGTTTTCTCTCCCAATTCACCCCCCACAACTGGGCCACTGGTCATCTGGTAGACCATCACCCCGGACTGAGTCAGCCCCCTGGGCTGCCCCACGTGTCCTGGTCATGACCCGGCACCTTGGTCTGAAGCGCATTGCCTCGGGGGCTGCCAGGCCCGCATCTACCAAGGGGCCCTCATCCCATTCTGGGTCTGCTGACCCACTTGATGATGCCTGGCTGCTTTGTACATCCAGTTTTCCAACACAGCTCTGCTGTGTCTAATGATTTTTGACTCACATGTCTGGTTCACACTGAAGCACCAACACGGCCCAAAGGTCCTCAGTGACGTTCGCACAGTGCCAGCATGCGTGCTCTGCCTTGATTCTTCCTTCTCCTCTACTGTCGACTGCTGACAACATCATCCCCTTAGCTGATGACCTGGCCTCTGTGTCCCCAAGAAAACAGTAGTGGCTGGATGAAACATCCACCCTCACACTGCCTGGCTTCTTCGGTGGATGGCCCATCTCCCTTCAAGACCACCATCAAGGGCCTGGGATGTCTGTTCAGGACATTCTGATCAAGGAGAGAGACACTTTTTTTTTTATCCTCACCTGAGGACATTTTTCCATTTTTGTTCAGATAGAGCGGGAGGGAGAGAGAGAGAGAAACATTGACATGAGAGGGACACATTGAGTGGCTGCCTTCTGCACGACCCCAACCAGGGCTGGGGACAAATTGCAACTGAGGTACATGCCCTTAGCCAGAATCAAACCCGCGACTCATTGGTCCACTCATTGGGCTGACGCTCTAACCGCTGAGCCTAACTGGCCAGGGCGAGAGAGACACTCTCCGCTCTTCTGCACCAGCCTGGCCCACTTCTTTCCCTCACTTACAGCAGAAACCCTCCATTCTCAAACTCACCCCACTAGGGTCCTCCTCCCACTACTCCCTGAGACCACTCCTGTTTGGGTCCACCAAGGCCTTCTTGGTGCTAAACCCAGTGTCACCTCCCCTTCTTTAAAAAAAAAACCAAGCCCTGGCCGGTTTGGCTCAGCGGTTAGAGCGTCGGCCTGCGGTCCTGAGAGACCCGGGTTCGGTTCCCGCTAAAGGCATGTACCTCGGTTGCAGTTTGTCCCCGGCCCTGGTCGGTTGTGCGGTTGGTTGTGCGGTTGGCAGCCACTCGATGTGTTCCTTTCACATCGATGTTTCTCTCTCTCTCTCTCTGTTCCTGTCTCTCCTTCCCACTCTACCTGAACAAAAAAATGGGAAAATGTCCTCAGGTGAGGATTAAAAAACAAACAAACAAACAAAAAACCAAAACTTTATTGACACAGAATTCACATACCTTACAATTCGCCCATTTACCCTGTGTAATTAAATGTTTTTAGTTCATTCACAGAGTTTTTTTTTTGTTTTTTTATTTTTTTTTATTTTTAAATAACCATTACCAAGTCAGTTTTAGAACATTTTTATTACCCTCAAAAGAAACCTCATACCCAACCCAGTACCCCCTTAAGCACCCATGATTCTGCTCTGCACTTCTCTCTTTCTTTCTTTTTGATTTTGTTGTTGTTGTTGTTGTTTATTTGTGCCAAACTGATGACATATGCCAGGAAGCAATATCTCAAATGCTCCTCTGCTCCCCACTTCTTGACCTTCTTCACTCTACCTCTTAGTGCTTCCTGCTTGGTCTCTGGCCTCCCCACCAGCTGCCCCCTCTCTTAGGACCCTTTCACTCACCCAACCCGAATTCCAAGTTTCTCTCCGAGTTTGCAGTGCTCCTCTGAATACCATTCTGTCTCCAGCATCTGCTTGACATTCTAAGTGAAATGTCATTCTTAGGTATCCCACATCAACCCCATCCCCCCACCTCTCCTGAACCTTTGTCCATAACAGTTGATGGCAGCTCAGGGTGAAAACGTTGGAAAACCCGAGGAAGCCCCCTTGCTCCCCTTCTCCTCATTCTCCATGAAACATCCAGAGTCCATCTGAGTTACTGGCTGTCCTCATCTCCCACCACCTTCCGCTCTCACCTGATTTTCTTTCCCACAGCGGTGCACCGAAACGGAAAAGTCTAGCTGTGATATCTAGACGGGCCAACAACCACTGCCCTGAAAAAACACTGACATTGTTTATGAAGGAGGAGGGGCACTTGGAAACTTCTGCATAAAATAATCCAGAATTACTAGGAAAGCTTGGATAAAAAGGCATGAGGCAGGGGTACTGATACCTAAAGACATTAAACTTACTATAAAAGTACAGGAATTAAAACTGTGGGAACCAGCCGAGTCATCACACATGAGCAAATAAATCATAAAGGTCACCGGGAGGGAAGGAAGGACTGTTGGAACAAGGTGGGACACTGGTGACCATCTGGAGAGCATCTCGCCTCAGTCCCCAGGGCAAACTCCAATGGATCAAAGATGTTGACGCACAGGTGGAAACTGAACTCCAACCAGAGCCAGAAATGGGACACTGTCATCTGGCAGTTGAACTGTGTATGAGAAGAGTCCAGAGCCAGTGACCTGCTTGTCTAAAGGACTGACAGGCAAAGCCAGCAGACAACAGACACATGGAGGTCCCTAGAGGGCTTATCTGTTAACTCATAGATAAAGGGCTCCTGCTGATTCAGCAAGAGAAAGAGCAGTGACCCACAGGAAAAACGTCGAGAATAGGATTAGTAGTCCCAGGAAGGGGTAGCCAGTGGCTCCAGCCTAAGGGAAGGATAAATTCAAGTGACCTAAACCATCTTCTCCGGGAAAGTCTACATTCTTATGTGAAAGGGTGTTGATAGTGTCTATAAGATTGCACCCCAGGAGTGGCCAGGGCCAACTGGGTTTCCTACGCTTTCTGATGTCTAGATCATGAGAACATATTAAGAGTTCAAAAAACGTAATACATTTGTGTGTAAACTAGACTGTCGAACCCACTTCTACAGAGACCAGTAGATGGTGTGCAAAGGCATAGAGTTCCTCTAAACAGAACAGGAGTGGCCAATGGCCATGACATTAGGCTGCAGTAAGATGCCATCTGGGCACAGGTGGTGAGGAGCAGGGGCAGAAACACTGTCAGGTCCTATCAGGTGGGCCTGGGCAGAACCCGAGAACACAGGTCCCTTCCCCATAATAACCTCGGAGACTTTCATGGAAAGTGGAATTTATGGAGAGAAGCAGTGTGCACAGGACAGATCTCAAAGTGTCATGTTTTCGGAAAACTGAAGACATCTTTAAAGAAGTTTGAAATATGCAAACCACTCATAATTGTTTAGAAGTTAGTTTTTCTCTGGAATCTTAAGCTGGACACTTAGCATATTGACTAGAGTTCTAAAATATTGTTTTAGTCCTGGCTAGTTTGGCTCAGTGGTTAGAGCATTGGCTGATGGACCAAAGAGTCACGGGTTCGATTCTGGTCAAGGGCACATACCTTGGTTGCAGTTCAGTCCCCAGCCCTGGTCAGAGTCATATGGGAGGCAACCAATTGATGTGTTTCTCTCACATCGGTATTTTTCTCTCTCTCCCCCTCCCTTCCACTCTGTCTGAAAATGGAAAAATATCCTCGACTGAGGATTAAAAAAAAAAAAGATATTAAAATATCATGTTTTAAAAACATGCAATGAAAGTAAGGGCTGCAGCCATGTAGTGGATGGATGGAGAACGACAGGGAAGCCTGTCCTGGTGGGGCTATGAACCAGCCAGGGCCACTGGAGCAGGCAAGGCTGCCTGGAGGTTGGCAAGGGCCTCTGGCCAGTACTTCATTTTTGGGAGGGAAGGAGGATAAAGTGCAGTGTTGATCCAGGTTGAGGCAGTGGGTTATGTCAGGCAGAGGTGGGTAGGTGGCGTTTGCTCTCCAGTGGCCCCTCTGGGCCCAGGGTGGGAAGGAAAGGGGGAAGGGAGGATTTAATTGCGGGGAGGAGGGGAGAGTCAGACAAGAAGCTGAGCTGGGAAAAGGGATGTGAACGGTAAGGGGGGCGGGACAGGGAGTACGCAGGGGCAGGGGAAGGGGGGGGGGCGTGAAGTCCCTAGGCTAACACTGGCCGGGTTTTGGCCCCCAGGAAGCCGCTGAAAAACGGTTTGGTGAAGGACAAACGCTTCTGAACCCTTCGACCCTTCCCCTCCCCTCAGGACCCAGCCCCGCCCAACCTGCCCCCTGGGACGGCTATGCCACCGACCCTGGCCCCGTCCAGCTCTGCCCTTCCCCGGCCCTGGCCACTCTCGGAACCCCTGCCTAGCACCCCCGAGACCCCGCCCCGGGGTCGGTCCCCGACAGGCTTCTGGACCGTGGCCACGCCCCCCGGGACCCTGACCCCGCCCAGCCTGGGACCCCAGAGCACTCATCCAGCGGCCGCCTGTGAGAAAGATGCCACCGTTGTTCCACCGCCCCAGCCACCAAGTTCTTCTCTTTCTCTTGGTCCTGCTACTGCCCTCGCCATTCCCGGCCCGCGCACCCGGGGCCCCGGGGCCTGCCGCCGCTCTGCTCCAGGCTCTCGGGCTGCGCGATGCGCCCCAGGGTGCCCCCAAGCCCCGGCCCGTACCTCCCATGATGTGGCGCCTGTTTCGCCGCCGAGACCCCCAGGAGGCCAGAGTCAGACAGCGACAGACGCCCCCAGGGGCTCCCTTACGACCGTGCTACGTGGAGGAGCTGGGGGTCGCAGGAAACATCGTGCGCCACGTCCTGGACCGCGGTGAGTGGTGCCTGACCAGGGGGTGTGGGTCTGGGAGGCAGAGAACCCCCTGGGTACCCCAGCCCCCAACGAGCTTCCAGCGGCTCCTAGGGTCTCTAACCTGAGCCCCTGCACTCCATTCCTCCTCCTCGTGGACACCTGTGGGGACCCGGGTGAGTGGCCACAAGGCCAGGCTGCCTTGCACCCGGCAAGGCCTTCTGCTTGCAGCTGAAGCCCTGCCCCCACTCTCCCTCACTCTTGCTACTTCACACCATTTGAAGCCTTCCTGCAGATGACACCCCGCCCCAGCATCGCTTACCCAGGCGTTCACTCATCTCTGTCCCCTGCCTGTGTTCCGGACACAGGCAGGCCACCCTGCATTGGGCAGGTCTCTTCCTTGCAAGCGAGCAATGCTCCTCTCACAGTTCATTTCTCTCCTTCCTTACACTATTAGACGCCAAGTAACAGATTGAGGCACCTTCAGCCCAGGGCGCTCATCTTCCCCTCATGTCCCCATCCGAGACCCCCTCATAGGCAGGCGGGCACTGCGATGGGACATAGCGAGAGCCGAGCTCTCTCCTGGCCTCTCTAGGTGCGCACACCTGGACCCCAGAGCCCTCGGCCACAGGGCAGTGTCCCCAGTGGACTGCCATCTTCGACCTCTCGGCTGTAGAACCTGCGGAGCTCATGAGCCGAGTCCGCCTGGAGCTGCGCTTTGTGGCGGAGGAAAGGGCACCAGGGACGGCAGGCGGCTGGGAGCTGAGCGTGGCACGGGCGACCCAGGGTGTGGGCGTGGGCCCAGTACTGCTCCGCCAGGCGGTAGTCTCCTTGAGGATGCCAGTGCGCGTAGAGCTGCTGGGCACTGCCTATGCCCACAACACCTCAGTGCCACGCAGCCTCCAGCTGGTGCTGGCGCTGAGCCCCCTGGCCACCGGCACCTGCGCGTGTCTGGCCGAGGCCTCACTGTTGCTGGTGACTCTTGACCCGCGCCTGTGCCACCCACTAGCCCGGCCACGGCGCGAGGCGGAACCTTCAGTGGGCGGCGGCCCAGGGGGTTCGTGTCGCACGCGGAGGCTCTACGTGAGCTTCCGCGAGGTGGGTTGGCACCGCTGGGTCATCGCACCGCGTGGCTTTCTGGCCAACTACTGCCAGGGCCAGTGCTCGCTGCCCGCCACGCTGCCGGGGCCCCGTGGGCCGCCTACACTCAACCACGCCGTGCTGCGCGCGCTCATGCACTCAGCAGCTCCTGGCCCTGCCGGCCTGCCCTGCTGTGTTCCCGCGCGCCTGTCACCTATCTCCGTGCTCTTCTTTGACAACAGCGACAACGTGGTTTTGAGACACTATGAGGACATGGTGGTGGACGAGTGTGGCTGTCGCTAATAGAACAGCATAAGTGGGCACACAACAATAAACATTGGGTAGTTTGAGTTGCTTTTTGTTTTTGGGTCTTGTCACCTGGGGCTGGGGGAGGACTGCTGCATCCATCCAAAATAAATCAGGTTGGTAGGGGGAAGTAGTCTTACAGTGGAGCCACCTGCCCTCTTAGTGTGCCATATCCAGTTGGCTCTACATCTAACAGGACCCTGGGAGTTGTCCCAAACTCCAGCAGGCACAGGTGCAAGGGGCAGAGGTGCTCCCTCCTTTCCAGTCTGATCCAGCCCTCCTCAGCTTTGATCTCCAGGTGGAGAACCCCAGATCAAGTGCTCTTCCACCCCCAGCAGTTTATCCAGCCCTGTGACAAACGCAAGAGGATTTTTTTTTAAACATTTTATTGGTGACAAAAGAGCTTAAAACAAATTGACCAAAAATCAGAAGTGACATCGCCTTGGTACAGATGCTCCTTGATTTGGAAAACTCAAAGTAACTGCTGCTAGAAGGTGAACAAAGCCAACAGCACAGAGCGAGGTAGAGCACTCCAAGGAAGGAACAAGGCAGTGGGAGGGCACACAGGGTCACAGCAGAAGCCTACCAAAGCCCAATGCTTCTAGGTAGCCTACTAAAAAGCCCTACAGCAATGGGATGAGGCCTTGCCAGAAGGAAGGTGCCTGTGTGCTCCTGTCTCTTCATGTACCAGATGGCATCTAGAGGCTTTGGGATAAGGGCCAGTGTCAGGGATGCTGGGGGTCATGGTTACTAGGACCTGGATAGGCAGGAAATAGTCCCCAACTTGTTGGTCACTGGGGAGGCCGACACCTACCCCTACAGGGAGCCTTTCCCAACCACAAGAACTTCCACAATACAGATTCAGGTTGATGCCATGGTCTGTACCAGCTGAAGTGACAAACTCCCCCAAGCACCGTCAACACAGTACCAACTTATTTCTGAAACTTTCCCAAATAAAGCAGAAGCCACCCCAACTCATTGAAGCTATGCTCACAGGTAGAAGGGCTTCAAATATGGGAATGGGGTGAAGAGTAGGGGGCAAGGCGCTCAGCTTGTCTGATGACAGCAGGAACCGTGGGTGCCTTCCTGGGGAAGGATCCTCTTAGCTGATGTCTTTCTTCCACCAAATCCTCTGAAGAACCCTGGGGAAGAAGCCACTGGGCAAGGAACAACCACCTTCTAGCCCTCTGGCCTCATGGCTAGTTCTGCCAGGGCCCTTCAGGGGACCGAGTCCTGCGTGTGTGAGAAGTGCCTTACTTCTCGGGAAGTCCAGCGGACCCAGGTGACGTTCCCTCAGTGCCCTGACGCGCAGGGAGAAGCTGCTAGAAATTAAACTGAAAACAAAAATCTTCCTCTCCATGATCACGTCACAGGAGTTCATCCTAACCTCGTGTGGCTCATTTAAACTTCGTTTCTGGAAGCTTCTTGCATCTCCCAGGTCCACCACTAAGATTTTGAGAGACAAACTCAGGAAAGTGTGTTTTTCAGTACTCCTTTGAAAGAATCTTTAAAAAACAAACAGAAAACCCCCAAACACCATATTTTCTTTAAATGAAAACCCTCTTAGAACACAGGCAGCGTGACTGCAAGGTCTCAGTGTGGACAGAACACGCGCCTCAGCGGGGCTCTCCGGGCACGGCTGCAAGGAGCCTGTTCAGCACAGAAACGTGAGTTGTTCCTGATAAAACGTAGTCCCCTTTCAATAAAAGAGAAAAAGAAAGAAACAGAGGAAAGGGCTACTCTGAGATGAGGGTCTTCCTCCCTCCGCCTGGCCGCAGACCCAGGTAGATGCGGCGAGCTGGGCCTCCTTGGCGAGCGGGCTGCAGGGCTCTCGGGCTGGCCGGCCCCACCTCCGCTCTCCCTGTCTCCTCGCCGCGGTGCCAGCAGTGGGCGCTCACTATCTCGGGCTGTTCTCCCTCGGGTGCTCCTCTCCCTCTCCTGTTGCTCACAGTGGTGCTTCAGTTTTAGCAGTGGAAAACAGGTATCCATTTATTTTTATTTTTTATTACCCAGAATAAGATGCTGATGGACTAAGCCACATAGCTTAGCTCTTCTGCTGCCACCTGTGGAGAGGGAGGGAGGAGGGAGGGAGGGCATGAGGCTATCAGAGAAGGTGAAAACCTGGAAGGCAAGGGGCTTTTCCCTGCTTCCCTGCACCTATGTTCTCACCTGTAAAATGGGACCTCAGATGCTGGACAACCCCCAGACCACTGACTTCCCAACCAGAGAGAGAAGGCAGCTGAGAGTTAAAGCTAGAGCCTGTGCTGTAACAGTGGTGCCCCTTCTCCCAGCAGCACCAGAACACAACTGTTCTCAGCATACAAACAGATGGGAACCACAAGGCAAAATTCCCACAGGTACCTCTTGCAGAAGTTCCCTGTGCACCTAGTGCTGGGACCCGTCATCCTCATGAGCTACCAGTCAGGGCAAGGAAGGTATCCTCCTCCCTGCCTGCCCAGAAAGCCTTTCTCAGAAGTTCTAGGATCTCAGGAGAGGATGTGACACAGGGAGGTGCAGGGACCTGAAGTGACAGGTCCCAGTGATAAGCTGGCCCCTCAGGGACTTGAGACTCCCAGATTTCCTGAGTTTTCTCACAAGTGCATGGTCCCAGTGAACCCCTCCTCTGGAGTTGGCTTGCCTTCTAGTACTGAGACAGCCCCGTCACTCCACCATGCTGGTATGCCCGTTCCCCTTGGTACGTGGAATCTTGCGACAGCGCCACATCAATCTGGGACTTAAACTCATCACCAAGGTAACTGTCCTGAAAGATAGAGTCGGGGAGATGAGCCAGTCAGAGAACTGGCTCACGTTCTTGCAGCCTTGAGAACTTCCTGTGTGTGCAGCCACTCCCCAGCCCAGAAAAGAATCTGAAAAAGTAGTCCTCAAGTCTGAGCAGCAGGAGACCCACACTGACTATCTCACCACTGAGACAGGTGACCTAGGGCTGTTCAAAAGGGCAGTGTTGTGGATGGGATATTTTAAACCCAGAGCCCCACTGCTGAGGGCAGTCATGCACGCCATCCTCCTGAGTCCTTGGGGGAGTGTTGAGGGGTGTCTGTGTGTGTGTGTGTGTGTATGTGTGTGGAGGGCACCCTGGGCTGGCCTCACTTCTCTGCAAGTGTGATATGTTTCATGTTCAGTGTAGCTAGCTCACCTGGGACAACTCAGGCTGGGAGAGACCAGGCTGGCTCATCTGGGACGGTTGGCTCATGGAGATGTAGCCCTGCGTTAGGGCCCCCTGAGAGAAGGGCTGTGACGCCACATCCTGGCTGGCCTGGCTGCTGGGCAAGTTTGTCTGGCTGGGCCCAGGAAGGCCAAAGCGGTTCTTTTGGCGTCCACCACGACCCGTCTTGCCTTTTGGGGTGCCTCGGCCTGAAAGACAGTGTCCAGAGTCCCGTGAAGGAGATCTAAGCCTCACTTACAAGTGATTTGCTCTGAGACCTGGTGCTCACTCACCTGCAGCTGGCCCATTAGCCTGTCCAAAGTACCCTGGGGGCGGCATGGGTGGCATAACCAGGTTAAAGGGGATGGGAATGTTCATGGCGGCCACGTGGCTGGGGCCAGCACTGATCATGCCGAGCTGGTCGTGGGTCTGGAAGTACATGTTTGAGGGCCGGCCTGTAAGACAGGGTGGATGGTGAGTTTCCCACTGTGTACAAGTGAGTCTGTTGCCTGTCACAGTCAGCTACTCTGGCACAGTGAAATGCCTGTCCTGATCTGTCACTGCTCTGCCTGTAGTTCTTTTTTGTTGTTCTTGTTAATCCTCACTCCAGGATATTTTTCCACTGATTTTTAGATAGAGTGGGAGAGGGGAAGGGAGAGGGAGAGGGAGGGGAAAAGGAGAGGGAGTGAAGACAGAGAGAGAAAGACATTGATTATTTAATTCCCACATGACCCGGACTGGGGCTGGAGATAGAACCTGCAAAAGATACGTGCCCTTGACCAGGAATAGAACTCAAGACTCCTTCGGTCTGTGGGCCTATGCTCTAACCACTAAGCAAAACCATCTTTTCTCCCATGAGATTCTGAGAACCACGACTACAGGGACTTAAAAAACTGAGAACTACCACACAGCATTTCAAATAAAAATGGTCCTTTTTGTGCCAAATCATATGTTCATACCACACACATCAAAAAGCAAGAGAAAGCCTAAACTCCAGAGACCAGTGGATCTACTGAAGGCAAAGACCCCCAGGGCCAGAACTTGAGAGCATGGCCTTCTGGGGACTCAGGGAAGGAGTACAGGCCTTGGACACCCTCAGCTACACAGTGACTCACTGGATGTGGTGATGAGAAGTTTGTTGTTGTTAGAGAGAACACAATTCCTAATCTGAGTCCAGTGGCCAGGGGAATACTGGGTCAAAGAAAGGGGGCTGCCAAGATAACATGTGAAGAGGAGAAGGAGGAGCCAGGGTACCCCTGCCCTGAGGATAGACAAGCAAGCCCAGAAGAGAACAAAGCCCATAGTAAAAGATGTGGGCAGGGTGGCGCTGAACTGAGTGCCTGGGCACATTGGTCATTCTCTGTGGGGGCTGGAGTGGGGAAGGGTCCCAGCAGGCAGGAACCTGGGGAATGAAAAAGAACCATCTAAAGATTGGCTCAGGCAGGAAGAGGTGTTCCAGGCAGCAGGGGTCAGATTCAGCCTTAGGAGACAAGAAGATGCTCCCAACTCTGAGTTCTGACAGAGCAAGAGAAGAGTTCAGGAAGGAGGCAAAGCCTGAAACAAGGTTGCAGGCCACTTGGAGGAACTTGTGTGTATGACTTCCCACGAAAAGGGGAAGTGGAGTGGGGGCACTGGGGCAAACAGGCAGAACCGTGTCATTAAAAAACTTATTTTTAGAAACTGTCAAAGACCAACTCTTTGATCTCAGAGGAGGGAAGCTGAGAAGGAATTCGTCAGGCAGGTTTCTGTGGACAGACGTAGTGCAGGCGTGGGAAGGGTCAACATCCTTAGTGCTGGCCCTGACCCACAGAGAGGACTTACCCTGGCTGCTCCGATCATAGACCGA